TTTTTGCAAAGGACCAATGAAACTCTAGAATAGTGTCCCTACCAAAGTTGAAATCAAACCTACGCCCTTGGTATGTGCAAAAGGAAATGGGGATAATAATGATATTTATTTAAAAAAACAATGGTAATACATCAAAATAGTTACAGTGCACCTTGTTGCCTGGCTCAATTTTTTATAACAAAAGTGAAAAGGGGGAAAAAATCCCTCTGCTTCATGTTTTTTTTATCATTAATTTGATTGTACCATTGTTATTTCCGATGGTTCCAATTTCTTTATTTGCACACATAATCTTTCTCCATCCTATTATGTTTCATATTAATGTCTCCTTTATATTAATAATAAGTATAGATATGTTTGCATGTGTGTTTACTCCTGTCTTTCAGAAGTAATAAATAAGATGCAAAAACTGCAGCTGCAGTTGAGTTTCTGATTGCATGTGGTAAATGTTTTTTTATTTCCATTTGTGTGGTTTTGTCGTAAGAATATGATCTACATGGTAATAAAGAAACACAGAAAAAAAGGTTTGCACAATCGGCTGAATTACAAATCACTCTGCACTTTGGAAGAAGATCTGCTGTGTTCATTAAAACATGTTGGCTCCTGTCTTCTGACATGTAAACCTCCTGAAGATCAGGCCCTAAACTTTTCACTTTTTTCCCCTGTAAAACCATAAATATGAAAGTATTTTGGGAGGATTTTAAGTGATTGAAGTGAAAACATTGAAAAATAAAAAGGTTTTATAATAATTGAACTTTATTGATCTCATGTTACCTCTGCATTTAAACCATCCCCTTGGGGAGCAGTGGGCAGCCATTTTTACGGCGCCCAGAGGGCAGTGTGGGGTTAAAGGTCTTTGCTCAGGGAGTGGCAGTCTGTATGGGTGGGGCTCGAACTCAGAACCTCAGGATTCCAAGCTTTATGCCCTAACAATTAGGCTGCTGCAGGTTCTTCATCCCTGCTATCCATTTAGCTTCAATTCCAATTTAGTTTATTTCTATCTCTCAATTCACAACACGTCATCTCAAGGCACTTTACAGTTCATCAGATCATCCAGTCAGATTTATTCAAAGTTTTCTTTCTAAGGAAAACCAGTTGATTGCATCGACTCATTGA